TTCGCGTGATTGAAATTGATGAATCAGTTCTTTAAACAACCAGAATCAAAGTATTTATTTATTTCAAATGGCAGGCGTTTTGATAGCTATCATTAGCCATTTGGCTGACTTCGGGCTTCACAGAGGGAAGGTTCATCAAAGTAGCAGAAAGTCGAGGGGTGGGGAATAGAAGAGCGATTCACAGATGTAAAAGAGGCAGACAGACATAAAGGTAGGGAAAAAGGTAAGATGAGTACTGTGGAAGGGGTCGAATATGACAAGCAGTTGGGCCATGGTATTTTGAAGTCAGAAGTCAAATGCCGGTTAATAGACTTTTTTGCCGTATGAGTATACGTTGCCCGGGGTGCACCACGTAAAGGTAAGTCTATCGCGCACCCCACCAGAATCAAAGTCACATTTCATTTTGAGGTTTAATTACTTGTGATTATCTACTTAATTTTTTGAAAATTGACAGTAACGATATAATGCAATTGTGGTCAGTGATGAAGTTGCATTTTTCAGTTCTTAAAATGATAATATTTTCTCGATCTAAGAATTACGCTTCCATTAAAAAAAATATACAAATCCTCAGCATGAACGCCCATTTACTTGATCATATATCGCTTTATATTGTGGCAAGTACAATTGTTTTGGACTGACAAACAAGACAATTCAATTATACTCTATAGGAGATTATAATGGGGTCCGACACTAGGTTGCTGGGGTGTCACACAGACAAGGGGATCTGATTAGATATGTTCCCTCTGATCAGGATCACGTTCTTTTCACGCTATTGAATGGCCTTAGTCATTCAACATTCCTTGTAGGTTAGAGATTACCGCACAATTGCTTAAAAATGTCGAATGCAAGCACTTACATGGTTTTTGTTTATTTCCACAAATATAAATAAAAAATAGCCTAAAATCCTAACCAAGGAGACAATGCGTACCATATTTCTTTCTATCAGTTAACAATATCCAAAAAATAAATATAAAATGCACTGAAAGTATGCGTGAACTCAGAAATACAAGTATTACTCAGCTTACGTTCTAAGGTAACGCAAATAAGATGTCATAAAACATCTTAAACTTATCTTGTTTGTTCAATCAGAACACTCCATTACTGGCAATTACTGTTCTTACCGCCTTTATCATTTAATATTAACTAACATTCATCTATCCTCTAACTTGTAGTCGGCATGGGACCCGTTGCGCTGGGGAAGTTGCCGCTGCAGCGAACAACAGTATCTGTGGTCTAGGAATTGCCTACGAAGCTCGAATCGGTGGAGTACGAATGCTGGACGGTGACGTGACAGATGCAATGGAATCTCGATCACTGGGTTACAATTTCCAACACATTGACGTCTACTCCGCGTCTTGGGGCCCTGAGGATGATGGTCGAACTGTCGACGGACCAGGAAAACTGGCAAGAATTGCATTTAGAAATGGAATTCTGAAGGTAATTTCTATCCTTTTCTTCTTCTTCTTCTTCTCAGTTGTTTGTTTGAAATGATCAGATCCTGCTGCTGTTATCTCAGAATCATTAATTAACATAATTTTAATTTGGATTTGCCTTTCTAAACATAATGCTCACTTATGTCTGGGGAATCTCTTTTTATATCATCTACTTTTTGTTTATTTTCATTCCACTGAAGGCCACCTATAGGGATAGTCTCAACAACCAAGAGGATCGCAATAATTAAACTCAAAAGCAACTTTTTAAATAATCCTGATACTACTTCACGTTAAGTCAATATAGTGGACTCAAGGGAAGAATTTTTAGGAGTAAAATAAGCCGCTATTTAAAAACCATCAACTTCCTAAAGTGGAAACATATCCTTCCAACTTTGACGAGTATTATTATGAGCAGTTTAGGAAGAAACCGGGGGGGGGGTATGTGGAGGGGTAGAATAACGAGAAGCTTAATATGCGTGAGTTAATATACTTGACCAACTGTAGCAATTTTGAAAAATGGAATAAACCATCCAAAAGACTTGTTAATGGCTAACTCGCATCACTTGCAGAATAGCTACACAGAAAGACAACTGAGACCTCAATCTGGTGAACTAATCAGGGTAAAAACTAATTCCCTTTGCTGGTTGATAACTTCAACCAACCCATTCATTTTGAATATAAATAGCTCCAGAAGAGGGTTGGTCTATGATGACTATTTTGCCATCCTGAGTTAATCGCCTTTTCAGACGATGTGTCTTAGAGTCGTCGGTTTAATGGATTTTACGCCACACCTTTCTTCATCTGAATTTCTCTGGCCATGGCGTCTATTGTTCTCCACTTGGTGTGAATAGGTTTTCCAGACGCAATAGCTGTGTTTTCTTAATTTCGGTTGTCTGCTTAGTGGTCAAGAATGCCTAAGCTACACTCCCCACGCGCATATATGACGGACTGAGTTATATTTCCCATATGACCCACAAGTTGGCCATAAAATTATCAAAGACAAACTGTCGGACTGCTGATTAGTGGGATTATAACTTGCGCTTTCATTCAGTAGAGAAACTGAAGGGGAGGGGGGGGGGGGGGGGGGGGGGGAGGGGTTCGGTGAATGGTCGATATGCACCGTCGGAGCTGTGGTTAAAGAAATCATCGGTCATGAGTTTGATACTGACTGTCTTTTAAATTAAAAGGCTCATTTTCGGTCCAAACACAATGCGAGGGAGAAAATTAATGAATATTTTAAGAAGATTGGGACTGCAAACTCGAGAATGACACTATGGTAACTGCCAAAGGATATGTGATATTCCTCGGGTCATTTTTAGTTTAAAACTTTGCAATTTTTTGGTCCAAATTCAGTTCCTGTACGTGTTTTCTCCACTATTTTCAAAGTGGTACTACTCTGTACATTCACAAGCAGAGGTCTACATAACGCCTTTTGTACTTTTAGGGGCGAGGTGGACTGGGCTCAATTTTCATATGGGCTAGTGGAAATGGAGGAAAATTCGAAGATGATTGCAATTGCGATGGCTATACTAACAGTATCTACACACTAGGCGTGAGCTCAGCCTCTGAATATGGGACTATTCCCTGGTATGCTGAAACTTGCTCTTCAACGTTGGCTGTAACCTACAGTAGCGGAGGGCAGGGCGAAAAAGGCGTGGTGAGTTCTCTACCTCATTTTTTATCCTCCCGGTATTGGTATTAGTCATCTGAGTTTAGTTTCAACTGGTGCCTGTTCTGTAATACCTATTGCATAAAATTGCCTATGCAAGTATCCATTTCTACCACTATTTATACCTTCCATTTATCTTCGACTGTCTTGTGTGAACAAGCATTACTCATCCAAAATGCATACCTCCTCCCTCCCTTTTTGCGTCTACAAACGCACCGTAATGCAGTGCTCTTTGTTCTGTGAATTGCTGTCTTTAGGAGACTAATGCGTCTTTTGTGTTTTCTTCCAAACTTGAGGCGATTGGCTTGCCAACCTGTCGACTTTACTAGACTAGAGAGAGAGAGAGGGAGGGAGAGAGAGAGAGAGAGTTGACCACTTAATGTCTCTATCGCGGATTTTCTTCTATAGTCTTCGACATTCGGTAGGAGATTGATTAGTCTTTGAGTCCCTTTATATGTGGTCCATATGAGCTATCTTGAAGTTTCGCAAACTCTTTATGGAGTTGGTTTATCGCCTTATCGCTTTGGGAGAAGAAATCAGGACATTTAATATTCCGTTTGTTTACCTGGTTCCAGATAGCTTGAATTGATTAAATTTGGCCAGTGACCAAAGTGCACAATTGGGGTAGCGGTTGTATGCCAGTAGTCCTTGTAACAACTATTACAACTCTAAAGGCCCCCTTTCTCTACTTAACTTTCATTCCCGTAGTTGAATGACAAATGACACGTTTTTGAATGTCACAAAAGAGTCTTGTAGTTTTACATTTTTATACAATGGAATACTAATTTCTAGAGTATTCAACATCACATTTCATCTCACGATAGGTTTGCCACCATGTTTTCAGACTTGCACATTTCGAAATAAATGCCCTTACTTAAATCCCTTTAATGATAATAATTTCTTTGCATCAATTCTTGGAACCTTAAGCGTTAAGCACACCATTCGTTACAGTCACTTTCATTCTAACATGTATCATTTCTCCAATTCAGGAAATATTTCACTTAACCAATGACTGATTTTTTATTAATAGAATAAAAAAGTATGAGTTCTCGTAAATAGGAAATCTCTTAGGGTTAATCATTATTACGCGCAGAAATGCGAAAAATGATTATGCTTTCAATTGCGGAAGCAAGTGAAACCAGTTGGAAAATGATGTGGGCGTTGAGGCTATTGTTTTAGAGAAGAGGGAGTACTCAGAGTAGAACCGAATCGTTGAATTTAAAGACCGATAGCTATCAGCTAAAAAAGATAACGATAATTTTCTGAAATTCAGAAAATGTACTTGAGGATAAAGCAGAGTTTATTATATACCAATGATTGGAAGTTGAGAGAGGAGAGAAAGAAGGAAGAATGAGGGAGGATGTGGGAATCGAACGTCTAAACCACCAATGCTGTATGTGCGTTCTCTTTCACCATTTGTCTGTCTTTCTCTCGATTTTCTGTCATTATAATTATACAATCAGATCACTTTCGCCATTTCGTGGCCTTCTACTTTGAAGCAGTGGTTGGCTGCTGATTGTGGGGTATCTCCTACAGTCTTAAAACAGTTCAAGCCAGTGCATAATATTTCTTAAATGGGTATCTGACATTCCAAGGTTCAGATATCGTCACATCCTCCTCTTCGTGCTTAGTGCTTGGTATAATTTTAAGAAGAAGGCCCCATCTTGCAAAATATTCTTACAATTTTAGTAAAACAAAGATGAGATAGGTGAGGTTGTTTTAAAATAAGCAGGTCCACCTTAGGCTGCGTTAACTCAAGGTGAGTGAAATATCCTGCTCAATTAATCAAGCAAGACGCCGTTTTACCACAACGCAGCGCTGAAGTAGGAAGTTGTTAGCTAGTTTCTGTTCATATATTACATTTAACTTCAGATAATGGAGAATACAATAAATTCGCATTATCTTGACTTCCTTCAACTAGACCACATGCCCTGTCAACAAAACTTTCCTTACCCCTCTTGATAGAGAAGTGATCCACTTTATTCTTGAAGGGGTCATAATCTTAGCTCTGTGTGGATTTGGTGTTTGGTAAAATAAGAGTGGAAAACACCTAGACAATGCCCTTTCCAATTGCCAGAACCCAGCACTCGGAAGACAGGAATAAACCAGAGTTGGTGGAAAATCTTTCGCTGGAAGGTAACCAGGGGGGGGGATGGACAAAGCCTTGGAGCAAACAGCACACTGAAAATGTGGTTCACTGGGGGGGGGGGGGGGGGGGGGGGGGGGGGNGGGAGGGAGGGAGTAGACTACTAAGTACTTTTAAAATAACAGTGTAAATCGATAAGCTACGTAAAGGCTTGGAGGGGGTGAGGGGGGGGGTGAGTCATGCGCTCATCTATGCGGGCAAGCGAATACGGTTACAAATTTATTTATTTATGTATTTCATGCGGTAGGCGTTTTGATAGTTATCTTTAGCTCCTTAGCTGACATCGGGCTTCATAGAGGGGAGGAACATCAATGTCACAAAAGTCGAGAGAAGGGAACAGAATAATGATTCACAGATGTAAAAGAGATAGACAAAGGTGGAGTAAAAGGTGAGGTGAGTACTGTGAAAGCGATCGAATATGACATACAGTTGGGTCATGGTAGTTTGAAGCCGGAAGTCAACTGCTGCATGAGTATACGCTGCCCAGGGAGCACTACGTTGAGGTACCGGTTACAAATGACATATTTTTATATGAACTCATTGGGGTTCCGGTCTTAGTGTTTAGCAGAAGAATAAGATTAATTAGGCATCGATATTTATTTGAAAACGACATCTTGAGATTTTTACCAAATCTTATCACCTATGGTCATTTTATTGAATACTGTCTAATCATTGGACCGATCGCTTTAGTGACTGGAGTGGGCTAATTCTATGGTTTTCGAAAAATGAAAGTCTCTTAGGCATTCAATTGGCAAAGAGAGGATACAAAAGGTTAAGTACCTGCCAGTAATGGTTAATTCTGTTTAGTATGACGAATGGTAGACTGGGTGTTTCTCATCAGTGATCTCTTCCCTAAATAAGCCATGTACTTTTAGTGCCTTTTACCATGTTTCTGGGGCCTGCAGACCTATTAAACGTTCGGTGTTGTTGAATATAGATGATTATGTGAGACATACTTTGTTTTCGATTCGTTTCAGATTTACACCGCTGGATTTTCAGACTTATTTTCAGACCCTAGTCCGAATCTTGAAAACAAATGCTAGCTTTTCCAATCATCAATAATCAAATTTAACGCTACATCATCTTTAATTACTACTCGTATGAAATTATTCATTTCTCACTGGGAAGCCTTCTACCATTTAATGTGAGATTACCTATTCAGTTGGATGAATTTTTCCTAAGAATTATCAGTAACTTACACTTTACTTTACTAAGATTAATTACTCATTTCATAAGCCTATTGGAGGGTTGATGTAAGTTTTATCTACTAGCTTATGTAATCTCATTTACACTTTTCAACGATTGTTTGAAGGTTTTTTTAATGATGGACTTTGTTCAATTGAATTTTGAGTTCCAATCGAGATTTCTAATCCCATTTTGGTGCAAGTAGATAGGAATTAAATAGAAACAAGGTAAAGGCAAATGAACATATTCGCATCTCTTAATTTGTTCGATATTCATTGGTGAACATCCCACAAAAAGTAAATCGATCACTTGAATGAGACTTCAGAAAGCTGGTTTATCACTTTCTAAAAGAAAATATTTTTGAAGCATAGATTAATGTGCTCGTCGGTATGAAAAGAGTTAGTGAAATCTGCGCTCATCGATACACACCCAGTGATTTGGTTGGCTAATAGCAATGATTAATGGTAGTGAGCAGGAGGAGGAGGTGATGGAATGTGAGTTTCTTTTAAGTGCGGTTTCTCTCTGTCGAGGCCAACTATCGTTGACGTTTCGTATAATGGGATTAAATATATTATTTTCCACTGGATTTACGAACGCATATCTTCATTGGATACCAGAAGTTGTTCAAATTTTGTAAAAATTTGATTATTAGTAGCCACATTGATTTCTTCGATTTTGGGTGTCTAATGGTTTTCTAGTTTATGTCCTATCTGCTTGCGAGGAGATTCTAATGAATTATCTAATCCAGGCGTAGGATTTCATCTTCTTACCAAAACTCTGTTTTTACCGATTAGCACATTTGACCATCGCTTAGGTATTTAGTGACAAACAACATGGTGCGTTGAGGCCACGCAATGTGGCAATTTTGACACATCTGATTAGTGCCGAACAAATTGGTGTTACAAACGAATATACAATTTTTAGGCCTTTAATTATTTTTCTAAATCTCCCAAAGAACACCTTTGTCATAACTCTGTCATAGCGTCCCGTGGAGAATGAACGCTTTATTGATTCTCTGTTTTGGTCTTGGAAGGCTAGTGATGACGCGATTGTTTATCATAGTAATTCAGCCAAGATTGATTTCATTAATAATTCAATAGGGAACTGATTTTCCGGTTGCGATGACGGTTGACGAGTCAAGGGTCGTTTTGAGAGCCCTAACCAACCATGTAACTTTATATTCTTTAGAATCATAAAAGTTGAACCCTATTTAATGATCCAAAACTTCATGCTAGGACAAAATTAATGACTTGTAGAACTCTAACTGATAGTTCATCTTTGAAAAACTATGGGATACTCCAACTGTATTAGCATTAGCCGCTCAGAGGGAAGGCTACAAGATACCATTGTGAAAATCATCCAGTTTCTTGGAACAGTGAATAGTTACAATAAAGAAACGTTGAATAAATATTATAATGAAATCAGGATATCATGTGGGATTGCTGTTTTCATTTTTTTCATTAAAGGTGGAACATTCTAATATTTTAAAGTGACCTCATAACTCTTGAATGAGTTTATGCGTTCTTCGTTTATTACCGGTTTAGCATTATTGAGTTTCCTTAGTTCTTACATCCATTCTTCAACGTGTTTGATTTTTCGTCAATTAGATATATTGGCTATTTCTAGAATTCTCAACAAACATTGCCTAGGGACTTAAACTCGCGATGTTCTTAGGGGTTCGATTTAGTCGTGAGGCCAAAACGGGCATCAATAATGACGACAACAGAACGTACTAAAACGCAGTCTACTGAAATGTTGAGTCACATTGTAAAATTTGGGGGGGGGGAATGTAATGGCCTACTTAAAAGAAAATAAATAGATAATGTTTCATTTTTCGACAGGTAGGCTCAAACTGTAGGGTTATCATTGGGACCATCTGGGGGTAAGAATATAGCCACCTTCCACCTCGCGAATATACACTTTAGAAACTATAAAAAAGTATTTCCTTGGCTTATACCAACTAATGGCTTTGGAACTCGAAAACTTGAAGTGACATCACGTTTCAGTATTGTAAACCGAGTAAATTCAGATGTCCATTTTCTTCCACCATCGAACGAATTCGAATTTTGAGATTTTGAAATTGTAAATGAATGTGCACTGTCGTTTATATTGTCGCCTTATTGAAACCACTCACTTTGCTCACTGATCTTAAACCAAAAACCCCTAAAATTATTATGAAATGAAATATTTAAAGAACAAAGAGGCCTTAATTGCAATTGGAGTCCAGCTGAAATCGTGTTTTCAAAATTTAAATCGCTTTAATACTGTCGCTCTCCCCCCCCCCCTCTGATATGACCATTTATTCCAACTTTTCAAAATATTAACAATGATGGCCTATTTAGCCTCTCTATTTGATCGAGCATTAGAGCTGTGTTTGATTACTATCTACAGATGCTGACCTCTGCTTACTCAGGTCATTTGTTATTCAGATATATCATTTGCACCAATAGATGGCAGGGTTTCTCTCCCTTCAAGAAGTAATAACGTTGATCCCATAGGCAATAAAAATATGTGCTAATAGCAGATGTTTGCCTGTATTTGTTTTCTTATAGTAGAAGTAGTCGTAATCTTTCATCCTTGCGATTACGTATATTATTGTGTTGTTTTTTATCGGGAGATCATATCTCTCTCTCCCTCTCTCTTTCTCTTTCCAGTCAAGGCCTATCTTGGCTATTACCACTTACATCTTAAATGACTGGACAACTGTTCAAATCAATAGACTGGTTCAATGATATAAGCCTCGAACACGAACAAACTCTGGAAAAAGGGAGAATTATAGTTAATTAAACAAATGGCCATCAAGCAGTGAATACGATAAATATGAAAATTGGATATCGTAATATTACTTATTTATTTATATCAAATGGAAAGCTTTATAGTGGCTATCATTAGCCTTTTAGTTGACTTCCGACTTCACAGAGGAGAGGAACATCAAAGTCACCAGAGTCGAGAGTGATACACAGGTATAAAAGGGACAGACACAAAGGTAGAGTAAAAGGCAAGGTGCTGTGTGTACTGTGAAAGTGATCGAATATGACACACAGTTGGGTCATGGTAGTTTGAAGTCAGAAGTAAACTGCCGGTTTATAGACTTTTTGCGCCGTACGAGTATACGTGGAGCAGGGTGCATCACGTGGAGTTAAATCTATCACAAACCTCTGTTTTCTCAATACTACTTAAATGGTCTGATCGGGATTTATGCTCCCATTTGATACACTTTCCTCTAAATATACTGGAGGGCTCAAGTGTTTGCTGTGTTGGGGTGGCTACTTACAATGTAAGGTCCAAAATGTAAAATGTCGACCTTGAGAGTGTTGATTTATATAAAGTAAAAATGTTCCATGTTATAGCAATTTGGTTGCTTTTCCTAGGGGGGTTGAAGTTAGACTTAGAGTATCGCGTAATGTTAAAACTCAACTCTAGATAGGACGAACCAATGAGCAAAAAAAGCAATTTATGCATTGACTTTGGTGTAGACTTACGATATAGTCTTTCTCCCACCCATCTGAATTCACCTTTTAATTTCTGCTAAAATGTATTGGTTCTTAGAAGCTATTGTGATTTAGAATTCTAATGGAGTTCGGTTTCACTTTCTCTGGCTTGAAGCAACTTATGCATTACGAATCATATCTAGACAACAGAAATACGCTTGAAAGCTTTTTATGTGAATGTGCAAAATGACAACATAGTTCAGGAGGAGGTGAAGTTGGTGAAGTCGAAGGTGAATGCTTGAAGTGAAGACGCAAAGTCCCACAAATTTCAAATTCTAGGAATTACTTAGTCTTCCTCCTTCACTTCAGTGCAATATCCAACCATTTCAAGGCCTAAGTTTCATAATTAGGCTTTCTGGTTGTGTAGATGAATTTATTAACCTTGTTGATCATGTCACATGTCGTCATCTACATAATTTCTAGTGATTGTACAATCGACCAATTGCTCTAAATTCAAGAGTATGCGCAAAACATTGAGCAAGTTAATGACTCTAAGTTATTGTTGTTGAGTATAATATTTCTAATAGGGCTCAGGCTTGGGAGACTCTTAACTTGTATAATACTATTCATTTATTTCCTTAAGTGCTTCTGAACATGCGGTTGACTTGGAAAAAAATATCGTTCTCTCTAACATGGTCAAGAGAGTTCTCTGTTAGGGATTTTAGCCTATCCTTCTCCAGTTTTTTTGCAAAATTACTTTTCTTAAACTCTTAAGCAGCAGACTCTGTTGCCTGTACTAAGTGCAATATTTCATTGTGTATTGTGTCTTAAAATTGCCCTGTAGAATTGCGTGATAGCATGTCTCTTCCTCAAACCCACTCTACTACGCCTTTTTTCTCAAACTCTTTCGTAAATGATTTATACAGAAGTTCGAACGAGTTCCTAATGTGTAGTGAGTGAAGAAAGAACAGAAGCTACCAATGCTGTTCATTTTGTATTTACCAACATAATCTGCCATCTCAGGACTTGTTTAATTTCAACCGGTAGACAGGCAAGAGACAATTAAGAATATTTGAAATAATCGCAGTCAATTAAAATGAAAGATTCCAAGAGGGTGGCATCATGGAGTCTCGTTTGAGTGAACTTCCCTTATTAGCTAGACTTAATCAATTCCGTTAGCCGTTGCTTTCACATCACGAACACCGTAACCCCGTCTTCTATTTTCGTAGATGAGCAACATGGCTGGTACACCACCACCAACATAGCTTGAGAAAAGTTTTCCTATACACCAAAAGCTTTGAAGAAGCACTCTCTTTAGCTTGAAAAATAGCCCGTTGCTCAATATGCAAATTAGAACTAGTTCGTGATTTAACTGTGCTTGTTTCTAAATGAGGAAATAAGGATTTCACCTAACACCTTAACGCAGAAGTCATTTGCATATTCGGACATATGAATTGGCAATAGAAAATTAACGAAGATTATTCTTGTTATTTAGATATCTTCAATTTCATCATGAGTGTGCTCGTGTTATTTGTATATTCCCCCCTTCAGTGCCGATGCTGAGATTGATAACTTTCCAGTGATTATTTACCCTCCTCCTAAAGCACTACAAACTAACATCCATTGACCTTCTACTTATATTCTCCATTTGGTCAATAGCGCATACGAAGAAATACCAAATGGGACAGTGCAAATGATATGGGTTTATGTGTAGAATGCTTACTTTGAGCCCATATCTCATATCTCGTGGGAGTCTTTATGCGTTGTCGGGATATCAATCCAAACTTTACCTGATTAAAACTCATTCATACCATATTAATTTTGAAGCACTAAAATATTATGGTTCGAAAGGTGCAATAAGACAACATCCGAACAGGCGCTGTGTACATTAATGTGCTTTAAGATGCGCACCGCAGGAAATTCCTTTGTGTCTGGATGGAGATGGGACTGGTATTAATCGTCAAATCATCCACTAATTTGCCACACACGTAATCCCTTGTAGCAATCACAAAAAGACCAATCTTATCCTTATGCTACCAAATTCAATTGGTTGATTATATGCTTTTTACAGAATGTGTAGTGAAATTTTTAGCATTTAATAATGTTCAAATTACAGATTATTTCTCAGTGCCCGAGTTAATTTATGCCAATGGCGTGCAATGCTATTGACCAGTTGATTAATTAAGGCGCACGTTCAAATCATTTCAATTCCTTTTTTTACCACTAACATCGGAATAGCAGAATGGTAGTACTTTACAAAATTTTAACGTCGCACACCTCGAGAGAATTGAATCGAAGCGAAATCTGAGGATTTTGATTAAAATACCTTTTCCCAATTGTTTGATCAATCGAATAGCGCGGGTGTGTGTGTGTGTCCCGGTGGGGGGGGGGGGGGGGGTAAATAGATGAATTGGCTTACTTAAACAGCGGGCATTTCATGAGAAAATATTCATTTTTGTTTAGGAAATTGTTGGCCTTTTGTTTTAGTCGGAAGCTTTAACCACAAACTAACAATTTATGATGTCTGTTTTTTGCCGGCTTTTTATTGTTTTTTTTTGTTCATGGCTTAGTTTGGCTCTGAGTCAAATTTGCCATTTTTGACTTGGCGATATGTCCACGTTGATATAAGGAAGCATTGAATGCGTTCGTTGTCCTTAGGCTGAGCACTTAAAGTTTCCTTGAACAGAAATACTAAATCGGCACTATTTCTACCAACTCTTTTTTGGCGACTGCAACGTTAATTGTTAATTGGGTAGCTCGCTAATTCAAAAGCTCCACCAGTATATAAGCAAGGTCCTATCTTAATAAAGTGAAGAAGGTGCCTTGATTTAGTTAAATGTTTATTTTCAAGCAATTAACTTCTTTTCCTCTGGATCTGGATGTGTCAGTTGGACCAAGGGGATCATAAGTGAAATTGTCAGCAGGTAATGAAGACCAGTCGCCTCTAAAGTATAGCATTTTTAGTCTTTTTTGTGACTATTTGTTTGGACCTGATGTCAGCTGTAATCCTACATCTAGTTCAAAATATGTGCTTGTGTCTTGGTTCATTTAGGGGCTATAACTAACAACGTAGACTAGCGGGGAGTAATACGACAACCGCTATGAACCTCCTTGACAAAGCAAGCAGAAACTGCTCTTTGGCTCAAGTAAAAAGCTTAAAACATCTCCTATCGCCTCCCCCTCCTCCNCCCCCCCCCCCCCCCCCCCCACTCCCCCGCACCAAACCATCACCACCGCCACCTTTACCGCGTTTGCATGTCTAACAAGCTTTTCTTCCTCCTGTTACCGCACGTTATTCCTTTTCAACAAGATGTTCAGGACTGATTAAGAGGGAATTCCATGTCGGCAATCACGAACAGCAATGTAAGCTAAGGGCTGGAAATTTGTTATTACTGAATGGAATATTCTAAAGCTTACAGGAAATTAAGAAAATTTATAGTAATTTTGAGTTATTTATCACAGAAATAATCATTAAAAGCAAATGCTTATAACTTAATTAAGAAAAATGCCACTTTTTCGTCTATATATATAAAAAAAAATAATTCGTAAGACAATAGGAAAAGAGCACATTTATTTCCTATTATCCACAAACAATGTTTCCGCTGTGTCGAATGGCAAGGTCAGTTGTGCCAAATGTCATGCTTATCATATCAAGTATACTATTCCAAGGGATAAGGAAAGGTGGGCTTAAATAATATACATTTCCTGAAGGAGGCGAAAACTACATTGGTGATGATTGTGGTCCCAAAATTGGTGCTTTCTACGTTAATGCATCAGCGATTGTGGTTTTCGTCTATACTACCTCCATGGTTTGAATTTTTTGTTAGCTTTTCCTCCTCTATTGGAGTTTGGTTTTGAAGGTAATTTGAATAGAGTGGCACTAGATTTTGGCTTTCATACGTGTGTTGGCATTTTTTGAGATTTCTAATCCCACATTTAATAACCACCTATTTGAATTTATCTGGTAGCATAAAAAATTTAAAAGCCAGGATTAAAAAAGTTCAAAAAAACTGTCTAATATCTTCACTTTCAACTCTGGAACTATAAAATTTTTTATTTGGTCAGGTTTAAAGAACCCCCACTATATTCCGCTGGTTAAGCTAATTGAAGAATCTGACCGATTTAGGATTTGACTTCTTTAACAAAATATGCAACTTTCCCAAAGTCTAACAGGATATAACAGCTTTTGCAACATTGGAAAATCAATATTTGATCAGAAATTTTGTATATTTAGGCAGTTGGCAGTAACTGGGGGAAGGAAGGAGTAAGAAGAGAATTGGAAAGCCAGAAGGTAAGAAAAAGGTGTCCATACTGCGAGGGTGGAACACGGGTTGTGATAAACGGAGTAGAAGAGTTTATAGTCATTGTTTCATTTATTCCTTGGTAAAAACTAGATAAAAAATGTTAGTTAATAATGAGAACGAGAAGGAGGATAAATCCAAGTGGGCTCACGATAATTTAGGATTTGAATCTGTCAGTTTCCCTTCAATTTTAATTATTTTAAATAATATTATGTCCAATTGCCTTAATTTTAATTTTAATTTAATTTCGAAATTTAAAATTTCCCACAATTACGAGAATAATTTAAAAATCGAATTACTCATCACTATATGGGTGATGAATGAGAATTCTCGCTTCATCTGACATAACTTATTACCGATATCTGATATTGTCCTTAGCAATATATTAATGCTATTTAAACAGTTTTGCCATTTTTAATGAACTTGACTATGCGGTATGATATATTTTAATTATTCCAAATACAAATATGGTTTGTGGCGATTAGAACTTCGTAATTAAGGCGAATAGAAGTCATTAGACGTCCTAGTTTCAGGTTATTGTCGCCGCTTAATTAATGCAATTATTCTTTTTATAATCCGAGGTTGAAAATCTATGAGAAACTCTAAGAATTTTAGGAACAATTTGAACATTACAATACTCGAATCATTTGCTTTCAACGGTTTAGGCTTATCAGTGTCAACTGAAACTGTGGCTTTCGTATTGAGTACTTCTGTTTTTTTCTTAAGTGGGTTGAGGTTTATGATTTCATCCTTTCAAGCAACTGACAAATTCCCCCAACTTTTAATGATATTATGTTCTTAATTGCACACAGAAATCAAAGATCGGTTATTATATGATTATTATAGGATCGCTTCATTATAGGTCATAAGTAAAGCTTCACTGACATAAGTATGATTTCTATTAAAATGAAATACATAACATGTAGCATCTAAAAGTTTCGTTCTCTCTTAATAGGTGACCACAGATCTGAATCACACATGCACAGACGGTCATTCAGGAACATCCGCGAGTGCACCTCTGGCTGCTGGAATTTGTGCGTTGACCCTTTCAGCAAATCCACGACTTACATGGAGGGATCTTCAATATATTGCCATTCACTCTGCCAGGCCTGATGGGCTCTACACTAATGACTGGCGGGTCAACGGGGTGGGCCGCCGTGTCTCTCATGCGTTTGGGTATGTGACTGAATTATATGAGCATTTCCAGTTGGATTGATGAACTGTAATTTGCATCCAATCTTAGTCACTATCAGAAATGGAGGAATTGGAATAATTCCGGTTTCACTAAGCCATAATGGTTATTTCTATACACGCAGTACTTATAAGAAAGATCTCAACTTGATTACCTGCCATGAAACTTAACAGCATAAATGCAACAATTCTCATCATTCAATGGTAAATATGTTAACTGGAAGTAGGTAACGCAAATGGCTTGAAGGGAAAGAGGATTTGAGGGACAATTCTTGGAATCGGAGAGAATCTAGGAAGCTCTCGAGTAATAATATTTCGAAACAAACTTTACGCATGTCTGATAAGAGATGACGGACTGAAGTGTATTGTTAGCTATACTATAGACCATTTGGGTTTCCGAAATATGCCACGTTCTTGCTCAATATCATAATGTTCTTGAGCAAATGTGATTGATCGGATGGTTCGTATAGATTAGGTTTTTCAGATTTCCTTGAAATTTATTGAAATTACTGTTCTAATTTATTCATTTTCCCTTGTTTACCTACTATATAAATTCTGTTAGGAAGAAAAACTTTAAAATGCTAAGATTTTCAGCAATCTGATTACTCATGTTTATTTCTTTAATCTTGTCATCTTGATACTTGCTACTAAATACATCCCTTCAGCTTGTTAGAGCACATTTGAAGCAGAAGTGTATTTTTCCCAACCCACCTTCAAAGGACTCGACCGATTAACTTCTCTTAAGCGTGGAGGAAGATAAGCACAGATGATATCTTTTCTCTCGCAATATATTCGAATTAGTCTGCAATAATAAAGATATTTCCTTATTCGAAAATAAAACCTATAATGAAAAGTTATTTATTTATTTTTAGCAAATAGCAGGCTTTTTGATAGTTATCATTAGCTCTTTAGTTGACTTCGGGCTTCACAGAGGGGAGGAGGAACATCAAAGTCACAAAAAGTGGGGAAGAGGGAACAGAAGAGTGATTTAAAGATATAAAAGAGACAGACAGACAGACACAACGGTAGGGTAAAAGGTAAGGTGAATACTGTGGAAGTGGTCGAATATGATATATAGTGTGAGGTCATGGTAGTTTGAAGTCAGAAGTCAACTGCCGAATTATAGACGTTTTTTGTCGTATGAGTATACGTTGCCCAGGGTGCACCACGTGGAGGTAAGTCTATCGCACACCCCCATGAAATTACGTAAATTCCGAAGCGTGTCTGCCTTACGAGTGTGTTAATTGAAAAGCCAACTGGTGCATTCGAAATGTACTGCGAAAATCTATGACAAGTGCAATCATGGAAAGTTCAAGTTTGTTAATAATGCGTGGGTAATGAAATTAGGACATTATGAACCTACTTTTTAATGAAGTAGCATGGAGTTTTGACTACTTCTAAAATGGGCGACAGTTTACTTCATAATGACGTAATGTTCAACTCAATTTATGCCAATTTTATTTGCGGCTTGTGGCGAGGAGAATTTTCTTTATCAACCATTGAAACTCGTTCATTAAATCGAATAGAAATAAGGAAAATCTTTTTCCTTCCCTTCAGTAGTTATCGAGTCGTTTTTCTTTCATTTTACCGCACGAGTATATACATCCTCCTATTCGATCGATTCATGAGCTTGTCTTTTCTCTCAACCTGTAATTAATTATGAAAAATTCTTATAATACATACAGTTTTCCGTATTAACATCTTTGATAAATATTTAGTTATTATTAAATTTTAGAGTCAGATTGTGCAATTTTTAATTAATTTGATGTTTATGCTAAAAAAACAAGTTCCACTACTCGCCCCCCCCCCCCTAGATTATTAAACAAATTCTTGTCTAGCAATCAACTTATCTATAAGTTTGCAAAGTGCATTTCTATTCCAACCTTCTTACCTAGAAATTCTGTCTACTTCTTGAAATAGAAATCGTGATTGTGAATTACTTTTGCCCTTTTTAATTATCTATGAAAAGATGTTAAGTTGGAGGGGCAATATTTTTTCATTTTTCTGATAGAGGATCTACGTTCGATAATTATCGTCTTGGTTTTTTTCCTGTGTGTGGACACAGATATAGACTGTCTTCTCCATTGGCTATTTAAAATATTTACTTATTTATATCAAATGGCAGGCGTCTTGATGGTTATCATTAGCCCTTTAGTTGACTTCAGGCTTCACAGAAGGGAAGGAACATCAAAGTGGAAAAAGTCGAGAGGGGGGGGGCGGGAGAGTGTTTCAAAGATGTAAGAGAGACAGACACAAAGGTAGAAAAAAGGTAAGGTGAGCACTGTGGAAGTGGTGGATTATGACGTACAGCGAGGTGATGGTAGTTTGAAATGAGAAGTCAACTGCCGGTTAGTAGACATTTTTGCCGTAT